CGTTTTTCCAGCAGAAGCCGGCACACGGGATGCGTTACCGTGACCCGGCCCCGCCCCTCCAGCCCCGCCCCCTATCCCGCCCCGCCCTCTCCGGCCCCGCCCACCTTGGCTCAGGTTGGGGAGGGCGTCGTGGGTCTGGAGGTCTGCGTTGCAGAGGTCAGTGGCGCAGCCGCGGACCACCGCGTAGTCGGGCGGCAGCGCCTCCTGGTTGGACTGCATGGGGCCGGTGGTGGGGCCCGTCCAGCATCCCTTCCGGACCATGGTCACCAGGGCGCGGTACCCTGCGGGGGAGCACAGGCCGCAGTGAGCGCGCCCCCGCCTGCGCGCCCCAGGTCCGCCTCCCCCTCCGTCCGTCCTGTTCGCTGCTGCCCCGAGACGGTTTCTTCTGTCTTTTGTCCTTCGCCTGCCTCCCTCCCTCCCTCCCTCCCTCCCTCCCTCCCTCTCGCCTTTTCTTCGAGACAGTGTCTGCTGCAGCCCAGGAGGACCCAGAGGTCTGTTCCTGCGGCCTCGCCCTCTTGCGTGCTGGGATCCTCTCTCGTGCCCTTCTGTCGAGGGCTCATTTCGTGTCTCCCCTCCTCTGCCCCCCTCACCTCTTTCCGTTCACCCTCTCCCGTCGCTTCCCTCCCCAGCTCTCATCGCGGCAGCTGTTTTACGTTTAGTTTATGTGTTTCAGGGCGCACGCGCAGTGCTCACAGCGGCCGGAAGGGGGCGTAGGCCCGGGACGGAGGCCCAGACGGTCGGAGCCACTCTGTAAGTGCGGGGGGCGTCCCGGCTCCCCGAGGAGCCTCTCTCCTGCCCCGCTTTGTTTGTTTTTCTGAGATAAAGTCTTTTGTAGCCCAGGCTGGCCGAAAGCTTGTTATTAGCCAAGGATGACCTTGAACTTGTGAACCTCCTGCCTCCGCCTTCCAAGTGACTGGATTAGAGACTTTAGCCGTGCCTGGTTCTCTTTCCCTCTGACAGGGTCTTCCCACGTAGCCCAGGCTGGCCACAAACACACATCCCCCCATCTACCCGCAGGGTGCCGATCCCGGGTGTGAACCGAAGCAGCATCACCTCTCCCTTGCCCCACACCTCCTCCCCACCTCCCCTTATCTCTTCCTCCCCCACCGAGTAACTTCCTCCCCTCCCTCCCTATCTCCCTCCCTTCCTCTCTCCCTCCCTCCCTGTGTTCTTCTCTCCCTCCCTCCCTCCCTGTGTCCTTCTCTCCCTCCCTATGTTCTTCTCTCTCTCCCTCCCTGTGTTCTTCTCTCCCTCCCTCCCTCCCTCCCTCCCTGTGTCCTTCTCTCCCTCCCTCCCTCCTTGCCTCTCTCCCTCTTCATCTCTCTGAGGCACACTTCTCTTGGTCCTCACCCGTGTCCAGCGACAAGATCACCTCGGAGCAGCCCTGGGCACAGGAGACACTGGGGAACTTCATGGCACTGAGGTCGAAGGGCCCAAAGTAGGTGTGCTCAAAGCTGTAGCACTGCAGGGCGCGGGAGCCTGGCAGAGGGTGGGGTGTCAGCGGGCTGTGGCACGGTGGTCTGAGTGACCCCCCCCCCCAAACCGTCTACACCTGTGCCAGGAAGTGTGCAGGGCCACAGCTCACAGCCAGCTCAGCAGCACAGCTGAACTCTAATGCCTGGCTCGGGTTTGTGCAAACCTCCAATTAAACGCAGAGGGAGATGGCTCAGCAGCCGGCCAAGCGCTGGGGTAACGGCCCTGCGCCCTCCCCAAAAACTTCTACCGTTTTCGGGCGGTGGCCGGGCACACTTGTGCACGCCTGTGACCCCAGCACCTCAGGAGGTGGAGACAGGTGGAGCTCCGCGAGTTTGAGGCCAGCCAGGGCTACACTCTGAGATCCTGTCTCAAAATTTTCTTCTGCGTTTTTAAATTGTTTTGTAGATGGAGGGCGTGTGAGCTTGGTACACCCAGTGCAGGCAGGGCACAGGTTTTCAGAGTCAGTTGTCAGGCTGGGTAGCAAGCACACGTGCGCACACGCGCACACGCGCACACACGCGCGCGCACACGCACACACGCACAGCTACTTAGATATTGAAACCTGCTACAGAGAAACACAAGCAGTTGCGAACTTGACATGTGGATCAAAAAGTGTGACCATGGTGAGCAGACACACACAAGCTAAGTGTGTGCAGCACAGAACCATCCCTGCTGAAGCAGCTAAGCTCCTGGAGAAGGTTCCCAGACCCTCACACGGTCTCCACCACCCCAAGACTGGAGAGGGCCAGCCTCACGCTTCCTCCCTCAGACCCGGGGTCCAGGACAGCCTCCTCCCTCAGACCCGGGGTCCAGGACAGCCTCCTCCCTCAGACCCGGGGTCCAGGACAGCCTCCTCCCTCAGACC